GTGAGGTGAATATTCAATCTCACTGGTAATAACAGTTTCATTTTAGTTATGCATGAGTTCTGACATGAAATTTATTGACATAGATCATTACAAAATAGTTGCACAAGATCCTAATTTTTCCATAACCTACTAACTGTACAGCTTGCTAGACCAAATGTGATCAGCACCAAATAGGACAAAGGAAGAATGGTACTAATCACTAACTCAGTTACTTAAATACCACATTAGTAACATCTCCGACTACATCAATTTAGATGATGAGTGTTCGAGTCTCACAGGAAACATCAACCTTCAAAATTGGAAATATACCTTAACAATAAATACACAACTAGTGAATAGTTTAGATTCAAAGATTTAAACCAAATACCATTACATAATGTATCTTTCACAAGACAAAATCCCATTATTTTTGTGTGGCAGTCGAAACTGTAACGATCTATATCATTCATACTTTATGAATGTTAATAGTCAAACTTTTTTCTACCAAATCAAATTTCAGAAAGAAAAAAAAAACCAGAATTTCATACGAAAAACTGATACTTAGTAATAAACGAGATGAACACATGAGATTCAATGCGCTATGTAAACATAAATTACCAAATATGTGCGATTACCAACGCATACATAATCATAGATATGTACATATACATGTGGTATACAAATCGATCATCACTTATATGCACCCACTCGGTACATTCATAGAATAAATGTGAATTTGATGATAGAATTGATTTGTGTGGGTTTTTGTTTTCTAGAATGTAAGTTTTCTAATTTTCATCTTCTTTATAAATTCATTCATTCATTTATCAGACATAATAGATTATTCATTAAATGAGTCAATAAAATATTATATCAATAGTTGAGATCATGAATCAATTGAAGCTAGACTACCATAGAAAACCTGAAAGCACTAGACGACCGTTTCGTCTTATTGTGGGACTACTCAACAGTGCACATCCACGATCCCGTCTCGTGTGATACAAACACAGGACATATCAGTCTCGCTCGCGAGCGCTTAACCACTAGACCACTGAGCCAGCCGGCATCCAGCGGTGTTAATGTCTAATATCAACCGATCCATGAAATTAAGCGACACATCCACTATTGTCATCAGGGAGTTACTATCTCACAACTGACCCGGTTGAACTCCCCTGGTTACTGCTTCTCACTAGAACTCCAGGATATACCTCTTGAAGTTAGTCACTAGTGAGCATATGTTGATCATTATTAGAAGGGGTTTTGTTGATATTATAGTAATTTCGATAGTTGAGATCATGAATCTACTAAAGCTAGACCACCATGGAAAACCTGGAAGCATTGGACGGCTGTTTCGTCCTATTGTGGGACTCTTCATCAGTGCGAATCCACGATCCCGCCTCACGAGATTTGAACCCAGGACCTATCAAGATTGTTAATTACTTACTTAATCACGTATAAATAAATTCTAGTATGTGTTAATAAGATAATTAGAAGTATTCGAATGATTGTACTAACTGAGGATTCCCGAAATAGTGCAATTTTAAAGAAAATAGAACTACATGAGCACCAATGAATGCCTTATATTCGTAATTTGTAATGAGCGAGTAGTCGAGTACAAAAGAATCATTAGTTCTGTTATACCCTAATAAGCATAATGCATGGTAACTTTTGGGATCCATTTATGGATCAATACTATACGTATATTTTTTATCGTATAACCGATAAATAACTAAACTATTCATATTCATGTCCTTCTTCTTATGAGCCTTATTTCGACCTATGAACTAGTATTATACAATTTACCATTCTTCGATTATGCCCTGTCTATTAATTACTGCCTCACACATTCACAGCCACATTTGGTCAAATTTTGTACAAATGTTATTTTCTATTTTATGGTATGATGTGGTCTGTCTGATTGGTATATAAACCCAGTATGTTTGAAATACATGATTCATATTGCAGAGGCTGAGATTGGTGTTCTGGACTTAAATGGCTGAGGTACGCAGGAAGCAGGACCGATAAGGACTCTAGACTGCTTGTACATATTTTTTGAGTCATTGGTCCGATCGATAAATTACTGTTCTCTAATTGGCGGTATCATAACGTATACATTAACAGAGCACACAGGCTACAAGTTATAACAAGTTCATATAAATACTACAGATAAGTATTTCAATATGTTATTTGCTTATCCCATTACTTGTTTCTTTTCTCAACTATTTTTTTTAGTAATAACGAATACAACTTTATTCTACCTGTTGTGGAAATCCAGAAAATTCCTCAAAAGAAAAATCCGAAAAGGGATTTGAAAACGTTGAGAAACATCTTATCCAATCAGCATTGAATAGAAGTTTTACCAGAAACATCTAAAAAGTGAAAAGCTATATGTCAAATTTCTGATTGGATGGTTACTTATACTATTACTATGTTTGGTAATGTTCAAGAATTTCCCAGAAGCCCAAGACCATCTAAAATGCTATAAATACCCTAGATTTTCTGTACACAAATTAACCTTGCAGAAAAGCTTTCTTTCTATATTTCGCACCTTTTCTATCGTATTAAGCAATGGCTAGTATTGGAATTTAAGAAACATGTTTGATTTGATTTGAGATTCATCTACTAGATACACTTATATCTGAGGCCTGAATTCAGTACTTATCGTTTCAAATTACAATAAGTCATCCAAACCACTTTTCCATCGATACTAATTATTTAAAAAGAAGGATACGCTTGTCAAGTAGGCTGGTCAGAGAGTAGTTAAACTAACATGAATAAACTCAAGATCTGACTTAGAAAAAACTTATACCATTATCCGCAATAGGGTGTAATAGGAGTAAGAGTTTTAACGTGAATAACCAAAACTTCCAGAGATAGCTCATTTCAACAACAAAAGAGCGACAAGAAAACATCCACCTTAAAAAAATACATCACAATTGGTGTCTATTGATAAATTTCAAAAAGAATAGCGTTAATACAGTAAAAGCTAATTACAAAGAGGTTATCTATGACCGATTTCAAATAGCTGTATTTTAAACATTGCTGTTACACTTCTAAGTTGAGAAACCACTTAACACCCAATTTTATTTTCAGACTGCTCGAAATAAAAAATGACAACCAGGATATGATGAGTGCTCAAACAACTCCAGCAGTACTCGATTTCATTTGAATGTATTTCTGCATCAAGATGGCAAGTTTTTGAGAAACCTCGAAGATATGATGATAGAGGCAGGACCTTGTCTACTAATATATCATATATCTTAATATGTAACACACTGGAGATAGTAAACCATAGTTACCAAATCAACTGATGATACTGCTTTGCCTTCTTACTGGATAATGATTTCAGTTGTATATGAAAGTATATTCTTCATGATTACACTGTATTACAAAATTAGCAATTTTCACTCATAACTGTTATATCCAAGCAAAGACTAAGTTATGGGTAACTTCTGAGAACTATTAATGGACTAATACTATACATATATTCTTATTGTATAACTATTCAGTAACTAGATTATGTTTATCTATATTCCTCTTATTCTAAACTTCATTTTGACCTATAGACTATTATTATAAGATTGAACAGCCTCTTAATTGCAGTCTCTCACAATCACAGCCACTTTTTCGCTCGATCTCCTACTAATGTTATTTCCTATTTTATCGTATGATGTAGTCTGGTTGACTTGCATATAAACCAATTATGTTTGATTCATACAGTGGAAGCTGGTATTGGTGATATGAACTGAACAGGCAGAACTAGTCAGAAAAAGGATCAATAAGGACATTAGGCCGCTCATACCAGTCAACCGTCATTGGTTTGGAACAGTACTGAGATTGTATAAGTCGTATTCTGATTAAAGAATAAGTCACATGACGTTCAACGGACGAAAGTCACAACAATAACTTCATTTAGAACTGTTCAAAATCGATTCTAGTTCTGAAAAAATATAATGAGAATCAAATTCTTCTCTGAATCCACTTGGTGTTGTTTTACTTATATCTTCTCATTGTTATTTAGGACTGCAATTGATCAATCTCTTGTTGGCATATGTGCATCCTGTGCGGATTGCTTCGATATAACCTTAAGTCACAAGCTTTTTTTAAGCAAAGATGGATAGTAAAATTTAAAAAGGACTCGAACCCAGAGTGAACATCAACTTTGGGATGCAGGTACATCCAATTGACGAGTTCCAAATAGAATGAAATGCGCGTCCTGGATTCCACTACTAACCAATATCTATCTTTGCTCAAATTCTTCTCTGTTAATACATTTTCTCTTACTATCCTATTGATTGATTAATTTCCACTACTGACAGTAGAACTTGAAATTGAGATTCTTCACTTAATGACTGGTTCAATTTTATACAACCTATACAACTGCTTAACTCTAGTCAATAGTTATTCACTTAATGAAACAGTATTATATAATAATTGAGTGACTGGCTACGACAGAACCCTCATCTTCATACGAGCTTATGTTTGTTCAAATTTATGCAACTCTTCAATTAACCTATTTCGTTTTATTTTATTTATTTATTTATTTGAACACATAGAATTTGGTACAAGGGGGCACTGGATACATATGCGCCATGCAAATCTTATTAGATTTGTGTGAGGGCTGTGATACTGTCCGGGTGCCCAGACCGAAGCAGATGGTCTTCTTAGGGGGCCACACTCCAAGCCTTTGACCTAAAGGTCTAAACCCACAAGGCAGTGGAGTATCGTGAGGAGATTCAGTCCCATGGTAGCTGGTGACCAACGATTGGTTCATACGCCGTTTGTTCCTTCAGGATACTGGAGTCCATGTGCACGGTTGATTTGGAATGAGGGTTTTCCAACTCTCCTAGGTGGACTCTGTATATCCACGTACCCGGTTAAAGGGCCGGACATTCGCTTTTCGTCCTCTGATTTCCGTAAACAACACCCCCGCCACGAGAAGGCAGTGAGTGGGACTTCCCTGGTAGATAAACAGACAGACATATAGTACTTCTTTTAGTTCGTAATTAAAAATGGCATTGTATTTTATAAGCATAAATATATTTCTTAAAAATATATATCTTCAATATTACTTCCATTTGTAATATTGGCCGTCTCTCTCTCTCTTTCACACACACACACACACACACACACACAAAGTAAGGACAATAACAAAAAACAAAACAAAAAAGGGAACGAAGATCAAAAATGAGAAGAAACAAGGCAACAAAAGCATTCATTACACTACTATTCCTTTTGTCAATAGTGATCATAGCTGTCAAATATCTATATGGAATAATAGGTGGAAATAAATACAAGGCAACTAAATTCATGGTAAAAATGTATGTATGTATGCTTTGTGTCCCTTTACTCTCGTGCACGTGTACACCCGTATATGTACGTATGTATATCTCTTATGTTTATACATATGAACAAGGTTTTTTTTTATGAAAAAAAGTGATCTGAATCTTCATTAGTCGATCAAAAATTTGCTGGTATTTTAACCATAAGGATCATAATGAAACGATAAGACTATAAGGTAGAAAGATATGCAATGGCTTATCATAAGGCTATGCCATTGATGTTAGTATAGTTGTGTTTTTTTTTTAGTAATTAGCAATAAATAATGTTTACTATTGATAGTGACATGGTAACTAAATTGTAAGCTTAGCAATAAAATTGATGAAATAAAGGCAATACTAAGTGAGAGGGGTGGATAGAGGGTTAAAGAAGCACATTGATAAAATAAGCGTACTACTCAAATAGAATGAGTGTGTGTGGAAAAAAAAGGAACTGTCTTGAAATAAACAGAACAAAAGACTATACAAACACCTGATATCTGTATGGATTATGTATATGTGTATGTATACATGTTTCTTAGAGTACTGAAATGAAGGAAGGTATGCCAACAAACCGGAAATTAACATATACAAATATATATATATTCTACATCTAATAAGGTTATCCATCAATATATAAAGATATTGAATAAATCCTATTCGGAAGACAAATGACTGAGCTTACTAGTTGTGATTCATTTAAAATTGATAAGCATATTGTTGATTTCTATTACTATTATGATTATTAGTAGTATTGATAATATTCATAGTGGAATTCATCAAATGATTGTTTTGTACAGGAAAAGTTGTTAATTTGCATGAAGTGAAATGTTTATGTGGACTACTATGATAATTGATATTGCGATTATTAATTGTAGAAGGTTTAGTAATAGAATCTTCTCGATTACACTGTTGACAATGTTGTTCAGATGGTAACCAAACAGCCATATTTGATGAAGACAATGAATGATGATATGCATTTAAAGGCATAAAAGATCCACCTGTACAAGGAGTAGTTTGCTGATCATATGTACTTTCTATACCGATCCCTGTGTCTGGTGATGAATTAGTTAATTCAGTACGTTTAAGTTTAGGCGACTGTAATAACAACATAGTGGATAATGGTGAAGGAATTGTTGAATGATTATGATGCATACCGAAATCTAAATTTGTAGTTGAAGTCACATGTTTATACGATGGTCGTGCAGTGATTTGTTTCCTGTCAATAGGTGGAGATATTATAGTGGACTGATACAGTCGAGATGTGTGACTCGTTGTTACTGGTGACGGGTATAACAGTGGCATAGGTGGTGGTGGTTGTATTGATGAGGAGGAATTCTGTGCAGATTGATGACGAAAACTTGCTGTCATAGAAGAAGGTTGATCTTGTGATGTGAAATAATAACCTACATTGTTATTATTTTTACTAATAGTAGTTGTAGTAGTAGCACTAGTGATCGTTGAATGAGGAATAACATTTGATGGAATACTCATTGAGGGAATAATTTGTATACAATTGACTGCAGTAGTCATTTTGTCGTTGAACATACTACTAATCGACTGGAAGGTAGTACTACTTTTACTGATATTCGTAGTAGTGGAAACACTGGTTTTATTGTTATTATTATTATTATTGACAGAAAACGAGGACGTCCAAACATTTCCCAAAGAGTTATTACTTTCATGCATTGAACGACTGATAGACGGATGAATGTGAGATGAGGATAAACTAAGATGACGTTTACTATGATGATTCGATGAAGACAAATTATATCCATAATCATATGTTGAATTATTTAATACATCTGTATTCATATTATTATTATTATTATTACTACAAGTAGTCTTGTATTGTTGTTGTTTCAATGGTGTTGATATTGAATAATATTCTTCCTTTGGTTCATCATAAATACATTCTTCTATTTTATTATCATTTCTATCATATATACAATTATGTTTAGATGATGACATATTCAATGCTGATGTCATAAACAATGGCTTCGATGAACGATTCATCATATTAGAACAAGATGTTGTTGTTAATCCAGGTCGATATGAACAATAAGATGAAAACATACCAGAATATGATGGTTGTTGAACAGATTGACTAACTAAATATGTACATGAAATAGCATTATTATTATTATTATCACTATTCAATTTCGTAATATTTTGAGTGGAATAATATCCAGTTGTTATCGTTGTATTCGCTTGTAACAATGATGGTACAGTCAAACTAACACGTCCACGTTCATATGTTGTTGTAGAATGAGGGAAACTTTCATTAATAGGATTATTACAAGAAGTGGAAGAATATAACAAAGGAGTAAATGCCATTGAACTACCATTTCGACAAGTACTACTATTATTATTATCATTATCATTATTATTAATAGTAGTAATTGGGGTAAAAGTATATGACAAGACATGTGGTTTACTATCTACAATTTGACTAGGTTTAATTATATGATCATTTATAGTGGATGATAATGATTGAATGGATTGATGACATGATTTCGTTGTAATGGGTGTTTCAACAAATGAATAATTACCATAACTCATATCATATACATTGAAATAACTTGACTTTTGATTATTATTATTATTATTATTATTATTATTATTATTATTATTATTATTATCAGTAGTAGTGGTAGTAGTAGTAGAAGTATTGGTAGTAGTAGTAGTAGTAGTAGTAGTAGTAGTAGTAGTAGTAGTATGACAATTATTTTGTTGATTAGTTGTATTAGTTAATTGAGTAATCCCCTTTCTTTCATTCTCATCTATTTGGTGATGATGATGATGATAATCATGACATGGTTTAGGACGAATCAATAAAACTGGTGCTTTACTAGTAATTTTCACTGGAATATTACTTAATTGATAATAATTATCCTCTAAATTTTTATAATATTTTTTATTAGTTTCCATTGTATTATTAGTTTCTATGGTATGTTCATTGATTAATGATTGATTATTGATTATTTTATTGGATATATATTGATTAGTTATATTAGTACTAGGCATTAATTTATTTAAACGTGGAGATATTGGCGCTGATGAATTATTATTCAAATATGTATTACTCTTTTCATAATGATGACGATGATAATGATGAGGTTGATTATGATGTACTAAAGAAGATAATGAATGAGATTGCATTGGAAAATGTCCATTACGTACATAAAAATAAATATCTTCAATTTCATCGCATAATGCATTCATTTCATCAACTTCACTAGCAAATAATGATGATGATAAACTAGATTGAGTATGTAAATTAGTAGTATTGATTAAACAATTAGCGGAATGATAAGAATCATTAATATCGATTGATGATGTATGCATGGAATTATAATTACTACTATTATGATAATTAGTAGTAGTTGTAGTGGTAGTAGAGACAGTATTATTATTATTATTATGTAATGTTAAATAATTTAATATTTTCGGTTGAATTTCATTCAACTGATATGGATCATTTGGTATATCATTAGATTCTTCATGCATAGTTAAAGAAGCAATTGCAGCTATACTTGAAATAGCCGATTGAATAGCAATAGTATTGAAACGATTAGTAATTGGTCCAAGTGTTCTAGTCAATGGAATATATGATGGTCCAGTATTTGATGAATGTGTAATATCTTCTAAATGTTTTAAAATATATGTTAAACCTTGAACAGGATGACATGCAGCTAGAAAGTGTGATACTCTAAATGCATGTATTTCAAGTTGTTGTTGATATGCTTGACATGTTTGTGAGTCTGCAACTAAGAAATTATGATGTAATAACATATCAGTGGTAACTACAAAAAATCGACTTTTAATTGTTTCATTTGATGATTCATTCTGATAAACAGATTTAGTGCAATCGGATAAAGGTTCTAGAAATATAAGGTCCCCATGATGACATGAGAATATCTGTAATAATGAATGCATATTGACAGAGTCTGGATTTGATATTAACGAGTGATTTGTACATTTTCCCATGAAGAACCATTCACTTGAACGTAATCCAACTACAGGACGTGTAATTAAAGGGAGTCGATAAGTGCTCAGTAACGATAAGATACTATGAACTCCATTATCGAAAATGCCGTAATCTGTTTCATTGCCTGATAATTTAATTTGACTAGAATTCTTAATATGATTACCATAATTATTATTTACGCTAACTGTGGATGTTGTTTTCACGGGACTGCACATTATCGATTTCGAAGCTAAAGATAAATAAACTAAACGAGGACCAGTACTGAACCAGTTCAATGCATCTTGGGAAGATAAATTTGTAATTGATGAAGCTAAAGCAGCTAATGCTTTACCACCAACAACTGCACATTGAAGCATAGAAACAGGTTTTGAACGATGACGCGCAGAAAGCCGATAAGAAATTTGATCTTCTTTGTGTACAAGACGACACAGTCGACAATCAATTAGTTGTAATACAGTTCCAGGTCGAAGAATACCAATATTATCTGCATCTAATGTTATAGTGGAACGATCATCCTTTTTAAGTAGTTCAGTTGAACTCATGGTAAGTGACTGAGTATTAGTTGCGAATAAACACTGAGTATCTTTTCTTAATAAAATAAATTTTGGTTTGGCTCGCCAAACCGCTTTACAACTTGACCAAACAGGAACTTCTGGACAAATTTGAGGTCCATTATCAGATGGTCCAATAACATTTCTTCGTACTAATTCGAACCAAGATGGACAACAGGAAGTAAGAACAACAGAATGTGGACAAGATGATTTAATTTGATTAAAGTTTGGTAAACTCTGGTTGTAAGCAATCTTATTATTAGATGTATTATTTACAGTATGTTGAGAAGTATGATTCAATCGTGATTTTTCACTACTTGAAACAACAGAATTTGGTAATAACCATTCAGCTTGAACTAATGTTATACCAGGAACAATTTTCATAGCTAGAGCACGTTCATTTTTAAGTACACAACGACATCCTGGTTTACGACATTCAATTTGAACAAGACGTGATGGTTTATCAACTGGATAATTTGATGAACCAATACAACTTTCTTGTTGAACAAGATCTTGAATTGTAAACCGCATTGAATCCATAAATTGATTATAACTTATACTATCATTATTTATATGACGACTGTTTTCTCTATTCATATCAACATTATTACGAGTAATCCATTTGAAATGTGGTCCAGAATCATAAATATCTACAGCACAACTCATGAGATATGATGTTATACTAAAAACATTATACCATTATAATATCCATCCATATTTCTTCATGGGTATGATCTTATTTTATAGAATATTGACATTTATGTTATCATTTTAATAAGAATTACATACATAATGAATATTGAATCTTCATTAGAAGGTAAGTAAATAAAAAGGAATTAAAACTAATTTCATATCAAATAAGAAAATAAAAATTAGTTTATATTTAATGAAAGCTTTCTTTTTAGAACCAATCAAAATGAAGGTCATTATCATAGGGAATTTCTATATCAGCTGATTTTGTTGATTTCTCATTGGTTATTGATTGACATAGTAACATAATCAACCAATGAAAATAGAGTATTATTATTCATGTCATTCGAGTAGTAACTAATGTACATACAAACACAAACAGACACACACACACACACAACTATGTACACACATACATTAGATGATATTCAGCTTAGATTTCTTTGTTAAATTTACAGATACCTTCTCGTTATTTTATAATGTTCACCAGGGTAAAGTTTAGTTTTTTTTTGACAGTGAACAACATGAAGTTGCTTATTTTATGCAATATTAATGAGGAATAGAAACAAACTAGTGAATGCATAGACTGTTGAATTGGAAAGAAACAAACTAGTTATGTATTCATGTGTAAATTATAGTATGACAATATTTCTATTAATATTAGGGTTTAGCTCTAGTTAATTCAAACGAATAAACCTGAAGAACTAGGAAAGCTATCATTCAGAAGATACAAGTGTTTATTAACAGTTGACTACGCAAAATACTTCGGATCCGTTGGCCAGACACTATCATCAACAACAGACTGTGGGAGAGAACAAATCAGATTTCAGTGAAGGAAGAAATCAGGGAGAAGTGCTGGAAGTGGATAGGATACTTATTGAGGAGAGCACACAACTGTGTTACAAATCAAGCCCTCACATGGAATCGTGAAAGCCAAAGGATGAGTGGAAGACCAAAGAACACATTATGCCGAGTAATGGAGACAGACAGACATGAGAAGAGTGAACAATAATTGGATAGAACTATAAAGGAAGGCGTAGGACAGAGTGGGTTGGAGAATCCTGGTCGGTGGCCTATGCTCCATTAGCAGTAACAGATGTAAGTAAGTAAGTAATTCAAACGACTAAGTGATGTGAAGAGAGAAACAAGAAGTCCTGATAAACTATGGAAGCTATTTTTTTAGGATATTACTTAATTTCATTCAAAGCTTGTAAAACAACAACATTTATTTTTGCACCTAGTCTATTCCATAGATCATAAGCTTTCGTTTGATGTATCATTCACTGTCATAGCCTTTTCTATTCCAAAGTTATTGTAATTTAAACATAATCTTTTGTACTCGATTTTTTACGCTAAACTCCAGTTTTGGACATAATTGTATTTTCCTAATTGTTTGTGCGTTGTGGTCTGGTTAGTCATCTATTTATTCATGTATCATTTTACACTAATCTGAAACAGCAAACCAGATCGAAATTGAGAATAAATCGAGTGGTGTTCCAGTTGACTTAACTTCTCTCACTCACGTGCTTGTCAGCCAACCAGGTGATAGAATAGTTTTCACCTCTTTACTCCAAGCAGCTACTGTCACTTCGAACTCTTGCATACCAGCCTCGAGGTCGAGCCCACCAGCCTATTACGTCAAGGTCTTAATGTAGACTTAGACATGTTATCCTCTGCATAGAAGTGGGTGGATAGATGAAGGATGTAACACTAAATCATTTGTCACATCACTAGTTCATACGCCAAAGTCGTTGAGAATAACTTAGAAATAGAATTTGTGCATTGTTGATAAACATGAAAAAGAATCAAACATGAATTAGTTACAAATTACATAAGACAGACATCAAACATTTAGTTTAAAGTTTTACTGTCTCTGTATTGTCTTACACCACATTAAAGCGATCACGATATTGAAAATCTGAAATCTAATTCGTTTCCAAAATCTTTAAGTTCGACTAACTTCAAGGAACCAAGATGTAATGACACTACGTTATTTAACCCAACGGAGATAAGAAGGATATGTAATGACTATAAAAACAATACAACAAATAGAAAAATAAAACTGTTCTGGAATATAAGTGAGGATGAGGTGTATTTAAGGGATCAATCATTGTTGTCTGCTCTCATCACGGACTGAATGAACAGTTTTGATAAACATGAAAAGAAAGGGGATAAGTATTGATAGTCTCATCGAGCAAATAGTCTCACAACTCAATTGTTAATTGATTGATGTCATTCATGTGCATTTATTTTGAACTGTCTGTTTTCAGAATGTTAATTTCGAGCTTTTGTACACTTTACTATGTACACTGTAAATCCATGAAGCCAAAAAATATGTGATATATTATATAATCAGGTTTTCTGCGATATTCATAATCTAAAAGTCAATACTGCTGAAGATGTTGGTTATTTGCGGAAAACCATTTTACTACTACTTGTTTTCATCCATGAAAAAAACCACAATCCACCTTAACTCTATCCAGTTGACTTTCTTTCTATAATAGAGCCCTAAATAAACATTTGTTTCTATTTAATATGACCAGTAATTGACAGGTAAGAGTCGAATTCATTTGGTCTACTTACATTTTTTTTTGTAACTGATGTCATTTTGTAGGGAATTTGTATAGTCTATATTTAGCCTTTAACCCATAAACTGATATCAGCTAGTTAGTTAGTCACAAAGAACGTAGAATCTAGCATACATGTATATTGATTTAAGTTGCCAAACCACGTTATTAAGGCGAAATCAAATTGTCAAGACAAATGATAGAGTAGGAAAAATAGTAATAATATCAGTGAAGAAGGAAAAACGTCGTGGAATAAAAAAGTATGAAGTTATTTCAGAACCAAACATTTAAGGGCAGATAATGATTTCATATATTTGCTACATTACGATCGTTTCTCAGCTATGTCATTTAATGTATCTGACTATTAGTTACGATGATGAAATGGACGCCAACTAAGTGGTTTATATATATCTAAAAGGTCCAGTTCAACCGCGAGCAACTTCATGAACTGATATGAAATTTTGGGTTGGCTACCCCCAAATCTTTCATCCTAATTACCCTCGCATCAGAAAACATGAACAATCGTGACAAATTGTAGACGGGTATACTTAATACATGTCACAACTACTCTCAATTGATAAAGATTTACTACCTCAGTAAATGAAGTGATAACATTTTACTGATTGAAATCATAAGTCAACTGGAGCTAGACCACCATGGAAAACCTGAAAGCACTGGAAGGCCGTTTCGTCCTAGTATGGGACTCCTCTCCAGTGAGCATCCACGATCCCGCCTCGTCAGATTCGAACTCAGGATCTATTAGTCTCGCGCGCGAGCACTTAACCACTAGACCACTGAGCCAACCAGTATGCAATGGTGTTAATGTTTAATTTCAACCAATCCACGAAATTGAGCGACAAATCCACCATTGTCCTCAGTGAGTTTCTATCTCACAACAGACTCCGTTGAACTTCCACAATAGGTTTGCCATGATGGTCTAGCTTCAATTGACTCATGATCTCAACTATTGAAATTACTATAATATCCACAAAACCCTTCTGAAATAAAAATTATTTTTATGGAAACATGTAAGTTTATAATTCACTTGTTTCTATATCATAATAGAATGGCGCCATTTTCAAATTGTTGTTTGCCTATAACCGTAATAATCGTTATTTTCACTAAAAAAATCCCCCAGTTTATTCAATTTGCAATTTCCGATTTATCGATTTTCCTACTATTGGCATTAACAACATTGATAATAATATTGTTATTGTGTATTATTAGCCTGATTCTAATATCAGTTGGATTCCATTATCAAAGCCATAGTACCATGGCGGGGGGTGAAGACAAGTGGATACATTTTCTTTGTATATATATGGAGAGAGAGAGAGGGAGAGAGAAAGCAGTACATATTTGGGTATGCAATGTAAATTTTCCAGATCATTTATATGTTGTCTATACATTGAAAAGATATTCTTGATTAAGAATTTTTAAATGGATTAATCAGAGTAGTTGATTTGCTTCGTTTAGGCACATGTTTCATTTAAAATGATAATTTTGTTATGGAATCAAGGTTTACCATGTAGTTGTTTGTGTTTTCTTCCATGAATGATTTTGAGATCTTGATTACTTTCTTCTTTCGGTTGTTTCTTCATTGTTCTCTGTATTGTTTGCATAATATCTCGATGGCTGTTGTCAAGATTTCCAAATGCTCTAATATGAGTATCCTTTGGAGCTTCCTCTTTTGGTCCTCTATAAGGTGCTGGTATTTGTGGATCCTGTAGTGTGCATTATTTATCATTAGGTGTACCATTTTTCTTCCACTTTGTTCAGCTATTTGCCATCCCATTGGGTAGTTGACTAGAGGTCTGTATCTTACACTTGTTGGTAGAACATGTTGATGAAAACACTCGTGGAGAAAATACAGTCGTTCTTGAGTGGAAGCCTGCCTTTTTGTATACAATGAAAACTTGAAAAATAGTTCGATTATAATGTCGAAGTTTTTACTTAATTAATTACTCTCTTGCTTTGCCGATCCTCGCCTTCACTTCTGCATCAGATCCACCGTATTCAACAATGATGTTGTCCAGATATATAAAGGTTTTTACATCTTCCAAAGCTCCTCCATCAAATGTGATTAGTGTGCATGCTGTATTGTATTGGAGAATCTTGCTTTTCCTTTTATGTATATTGAGACCAACTGCTGTTGAGGCTGCTGCTACACTAGTTGTCTTCTCCTTCATTTGTTTTTGAGTATGCGTTAGAAGAGTCAGATCATCTGCGAAGTCTAGATAGTCCAGCTGCATCCTAGACGTCCGTTGAAGTTTTTAGTCTAATTTAAACAAAAGAATTTCATTATCCTTTAATACAGTTGAATGGTACCTAGTAATGGAATCTAAAATCCATGTTACGTTCTGTATGGGACTCATTCATTTGGATGCACCTGTATATCCCAGTGTTGATGTTCAAATTGAGATTTGAATCTAGTACACTTCAGTTCAAACATCAGTGTGTTAACCACTAAGTTACTGAGTTCAGATAGCTATTAAATTGTTCAACGAGTATGAATTTATGCATGCAATAGTTTCCATTTCCCGATTGTTGATAAGAATCACTGAATTTAAACAGTCTACAATTTTGAGTATACTTGTAGTG